AAAAAAATATTGATTCAATTCTTGTCCACTGGGCTGAATTTCCACTATATCAACTCTATTTTGGCTTCTGTAAAACTATTGATTTAGTGATGGATTCTAAGACTTCTTCACTTTCCACTAACTTAACAGTTATCAATACAAAAGATTTGATAAAAATTTGCTTCTTGTCAGTCTTTTGAATTCAGTGAATTTGTAAAAGAACTTGTAACCTGAAAAGTATCTACTTTAAACTGAAGATGACTATAAATGAATCTATTTTATAAAGTAGAACAGCCAAAAGTCTCTTGGTGTCCAAGTGAAATCACATTTTTTTTTAAGGAATGTTAAGTCTTCTAACTAGAACCCAATATAGCTTGATAAGCATTAAAATAAAAAGATTTGGTAAGCTTAGTTGCTACTGGTCTTCTCTCTTTTGAGACATTAAATGAATAGAACAATATAACTGCTGCAATAATAATAGACTAATTGTGATCTCAAATACCACTGTCTTGTGGCAGAGTACTTTAATTTTTTGATCATTCTCCCACTAAAAACACTGTTAGTCTCAGTTTTTATTTCAGTTTGTAAAAAGGCTTGTCTTTATATTGACTGTCACTTCTATCTGTTTCTTCCTAAATCTCAATAGAATTGCTGGTATTTGTTTGATAATGTTTGGACTTTCATTAAAGTCATTTAGGGAAAGAGGTCTGTTACTCCTGCAAGAGATATCAAAAACTAGTTTTACTGGAGTCATGGTCTGTAGTTCTTAATTATGGGATAGTATGGGAGGTAATGCCCATTAGCTCCCATTTTCTCTTCAGGCATGGTCTCATGAAACACATTATCATATTCCTGAAATTTGTTTGTGGACTTGAGCCTTAACATTAAGGAGTCTTTTCTCAGCTTTGTGGCAATTGGCAGGAATATCTTGTTTACCATCTAGTGAGGGAAAACATAAATGGTAATAACCGTCCTTCCAAATATGCTTTTCATATATTTCCAGCACTCAATACTTCAAACAAACATTTTTGGCTTGATTCAGAGGCCTGTCTCAGATTAGAAGTCATCCAAATATGAAGGCATTATGGAACAAGGTATATTTTTATTTAACTTTATAAATATTGAATTACAATGTAAGAAATTTAAATAACATCAAGGAATCTTTGAATTATTCCATTTTGGAATGCAACATAACTCCTTTGTATTTGAATGGCTTCCAACCTGTAAATCAAGCTGAAAATGTTTGTTTGAAGTATTAAATGAGTGCTGGAAACATATGAAAAGTGCATTTGTATAATGTAACAAAAATTCCAGCTTTTAGAGGAAAGTTTAAACACTTCCGTAATTCTCTCAAAAGGAGGAAGAAGTGTTCTTGTTCAATTTCTTCTTTGTCAACTTATGTTAANAAATTATTTAATTAACTTAGTCTATTTTAATTTGAAAATGAATCTTTAATTAATTAATTCAATAAAATATTAAAATTGACGAACGACTGGCCAAAGCGGTAAAGTCGTCAGCTTCCGCTCTAAAGGACCCGGACTCAAATTCTACAGGAAACCCTTAAAACTTTTTTTTTTACTTCCCAGTCTTTATGTATACCCAACAAGAAAAATATTGGAATAGTATCAAATTTGACCTTCCAAAATTACGTGGATGTGTGTGTGTTGGTGTCTATTTCGTTTAATATCTCATGATTTTTTTTTAACTTTTTCCGCTCTGTGAACACTAAGAGGGCCTCTTTTAACAAGCCCATTATGAGTTCGGCCAGGCTCACAATGGGGTGGCCGGATGGTGAGGGACCACCCTGAAAAATTCCTGGAGATTTTCGACCCAGACCGAATTCGATCCCGGGTAGACTGCCGCTTTGACCGCTCGGCCATCCGACCGTCAAACTTCACAATGGGGTAATGACGAAGAAACGAAATTAGGCATGTAACTTCTGTATAAGGGGCATTGATGTTATTAAACTTTGGTGTTTAATTAAAGATGAGTGGATCATGACAGCATGCAGGGCCGGATGCAATAAGTGCGAGGTCCGATTGAAATTTTTTGCAGGGCCCCTCAAACTTTAAATAACAAAATTAATTAACAGTTAATTTACATATTAAAATATAGATTTTAAATACTTATTTAAAACAAAATCGAAAATCTAATTATAAAAATCAAAAGTCATGAACCATAAGGTAGACAAATTTCTACATTAAAAAACCTGTACCAAATATAAATACAACTACATTTTATTGAATATAAACATACATAGATATGTTTTAGTATTTCTATATTTTTAAATGAATATAACTATAGAAATTTTTGCCATGAAAAATCTTCTAATGTGTTTATGAATGAATATAACTGAATTTTATTGAATATAAACCTATAAAGA